CATCCATCCATCCATCCATCCATCCATCCATCCATCCTCCCTCCCTCCCTCCCTCCCTCCCTCTCCAAGCCTTCTTAGGAGACCTTCACTTGCAGACCCAACTCTCCCATCTAATGGGACTTTTGTCTCCTGCTCCAACCCCACCGTTTCTTTTCAGCAGCTCCTTTTCCTGATGGAACTTCTACCCTGCTCCAATTCCCCACTTGGCCACCAACAAATCCCCCAGGGCCACACAATCAAGTTTCCCTAGCCTGGTGCTGGGACGCAACTGACTGAAAACTGTAGAGAGTAAGGAAGAGGTCCTTGATGGAGATGTGCAGGCTCGGGGCCGAGACCAAGGGGCCAAAGCATTTTTAACTCCAGAACGTCCAGATAACATTTGGAAGTGGCTCAGACAGACACCTCCCTAATTCACTGAACTGTAAGAAGTGGGAGGAGGTACAGTTAGTATAGCCAATCTCAATTAAAGTAATTGTAACCATCCTGTAGGGTTGATTTCACAGTCTAGTCTGCCTAGTGGGGCTGACAGCAACATTTGCTTCCCCCTGCCACCCCCTTTCCCCATGCTTTTTTAGCCCATCAAAGCTAACCTGCAGTGTTCAGGTTAAGGAGGGAGACCGACCAGAAGTGCATTTTGGGCTCCAAGTCAACACTTGAGACACTTATTTTACTTTTTCTTTTCCCAAAGGAGCCTGGTGTGGCTGCCTGCCCAACAGCCCTGCCCTGAAGGAATACATTTTCCGTTGGCTCCGGTCCATAAGAATGTAGGGCTTGCCTGGCAGCTGAGAGGCCTCCATCTCGTCCACTCAAAGTCACTTTGGCTCTGGAAATTCTGCAGGGTTGCAAATCACTTCAGCAGCATTGTTTGGGGTCAGAGGAATCTGTTAGTGCAAGAAGAATGGTCTCGAGGGGAACTCACAATACCGGGATGTGAAAGGGCAGAGAAGGGACAGCTCCAAACTCCTACTCATCCTTGGTAAAATATTATTTACTAGCCACCTTCACTGACTGACTGTTTCACTGCGGGAAGAAAAACGATCCCCCACCCCCCTTCCACAGGAAAAGAGGCCATGAGTCCTGACAGCAGCCACACACAGGAGGAACCCTCCCCAAAGGAGAATCCAGCTGCGTATTTGGCATTTGCAAATAGCCCCTTAGGGATGGTGACCAAAGAGCCATGCAGTTCACTGGTAAGAGCAGCCAAGTCCTTCTAAAGCCAAGCTCCACAAGATGCTGCAGTTCCAAAGTGCAAGGGGGTACCTTGGAGAAGTCCTCTAATGCAATCTCCAATGTTGCTGGCACTGTTGAGAGTAAGTTCTGTAACATCCTCATAGCTCAGGACACCTCTGAAACTGTGGCTGGAACTGCCCCTCTTGGACAAGCCTAGCTAGGACCTTTCTTGGTGATGGTCATAAGCACCACCAGCAGCCTGGAAGATGCTCTAGCAGAGTTGATGCAACATGTTAAGTCTCAAACGGGGTTCTTGGAAGTGAGGAAGCACCTAAAGTGTTCCTCACTGCTTTGGTCCAGCAAGAATGGAGAGAGAACCAGAGTTCCACTTGCCCCGTCTTCATAGCAGCCATGTTACCTACTTGGACCCAACTTAAGGTGAAGCCTGATCTTTTGCAATCTCCCTTGTGCTACAATCACCTGTCAAAAGAGAGAAAGAAGTCCAAGTTTGCCAGTCCAAGCTGGTTACATAGAAAACAGTGAGAACTTCTTCACTGAAATGTCACCTACACGCAACCTTTGGTGCAGAATCCATGTATGCAAGCATCAGGATGTGTGACTTCTCAGAACAGAAAGATTCTCCAGCTGATTACTTTAAGGGCCATCCCCTCCTGCATTATCATGCAAGGATGTAGAAGTTCCTCTGGTCTTGAGAAAGACCGCAAATCACGCTTTGTGTACTACAAAACACTCTACTGAATGAGGCTTGGCAGAACCAAAGGATTCCTTGTTCAGGCCAGGGATGGGCCATCTTCCAGTGGTCAAGAGAGATTCTTCACTTGGAAGGGCTGCCAAGTGGGTGGGCTCATATCACACTTCAGTGGGGCTGGGTTTTAGTGACAGCCTGGGGGATTTCTTGTGTGTGCGCGTGCGTGTGTGCGCACGCGTGTGTGTTTTAACCGTGATAGGCCTAGTTAAGGGATTACACCACTTTACTCATTACCCCTCAAAATACTGGGCAAACCTTTTGCTTTCAGCAATGAGGGACCATAATAAAGGGATGTGGAGACTGCAAGCTACCCATTCCTGTTTTACACAAGTGGCAGGGACACCATAATTTCTAGGAAACCTTTAGCTAATTTTTTTAACCTGGTTTATTTTGACTGTTTCCCCCCAAATGGCAGTCTATCACATTAATGCTGCAGTTTTATTTTCACAAAGAATTAAAAGCACAAGACATGTTATTGTGTATCATGTTATATTTCCTGTTTTGTATTCCACCTTAAGCTCCTTTTGAACATAAAGTTGGATATAAATCTTTAAAAAAAGAGGGTATTTACAGTAATTACCATGAGAAATTTAGGATAACGGGGAGTGAATACATTGCTACTTTTCGTAATGCAACTAGTTCTTTGTCAATATTTTATGTTTGCTGTCCCAATTCTTTTCCCTCATGTTTCAGAAACAGCATCCCATCTCCTCCCCACTCCATGAAATGAAAGCCAGATTCAGATGCAGAAGCAATCTTTGGAAAATAAAATACATCCAGAGAAATGCCTAAAATTTATTGTAAACAGATTTGGAGGTATTTGAGCCCTGGACTTCAAAGGCTTGAGCTCAAGCTTTGCTCTGCTTTCGTCAAAGTCCACATTGTTACAGCAATGGGCCCATGAGAGATGCGTTTTCATTAACCTATCTTTCCTGAGTAAGGCACCTCCAGTAACAAAGCTGGTCTGGTGCAGTGGTTAGAGAGCAGGTTTGGGACCAGATTGATCCCAGTTCAGGTCTACATTCTGCAATGAAGTCCACTGGGTTCAGCCTAATCCATCCCAGATGATGTAGTGGGTTAAAAGAAAGGTAGGGAGGTACACCATTTGAAACTCCTTGCCCCAAAGCGAGCAAGACAAACATTGGAAATAATTAAATGGTATCAGCAGAATCAAGAGTCTAGTTGCCCCAGTGCCAACTTTCTCCTTTTTGGAGGAACTTCAGAACATCTCTTACCTTTGAGATACTCGGGAAAGGTAATCCTGGTTCAAAGAGGAGAGTTGCTGCTCCAGCCGGAAGATTCGGAAGGCCAGGTACAATGAGGACAACACCAAAAGGCAGATTCTGCAAATCAAGACCCCACAGAGAGGTCCCATTTAGATCTGAGCCACGAGGGAATCAGAACGCCATAGGAAAGATTGGAAAACTCATCTCTTAGACTTACAACACTATGAAGATTTTCAGCAACTGATAATCAGCTGCTCTCAGTTCCGCTTTGAAGCTGCGGTCCACGCCTAACTCCTCCTCCTCCTCCTCCTCCTCTTCTTCCTCCTCCTCAGAGTTTATTGTACTTTCTGGAACAGAAGCACATAGGGAGAAATTCAGATCACTCAAAACACCAACTGGAGTTGGAGAATCCAAAAATGATAAACGCCCTTTGTTTATCAAAGGGTCCGTTGAAAGAGCTCCTTCCGGTTGCATTTCAACCACTCCTTCCATATGAACTGATGTCCTTGGAGCACCACACAATCTGTGCCAGCCCAGGAAGATGCTGCCCCCCATCCCACAAGGGTTTTCAGAATTCCCTGTACCTGACGCAAGGGGCTCCTCCAAGTTGCAGGAATTCTCCTCAGCACTGAGGTTGCTGATTGATGCTTGGTGGATACACTGGAAGCCAGCATCTGGGAGGGCAAGTGAGAGCGATGCCGAGGACCTCTTCCTCCACTTCACTTCTGGGACAATCACCTCCTGTGGAAAGCATATAATGCAGCATCAACTACCTGAATTTTTAGTGGGACATCAAGGTTAGTGGGCCAGAAGTGGGTCAGCGAAGCATTTCTGGCTCTTCTTCCACCACAGAACCATCTCCTGATAAACCAGTGGTAATGCTTCATGAAAAGACCCACAGAGCATATGCCCTGCTTGTGGAAAGTCCTAGGTCCAATCTTTGCTACCTTCAGTTTGCAAAGAACCAGAGTAATGAGTAATGGAAGAGGTCTTTCTCTGCCCCAGATTGTGCAATGCAAACCACATATCTCTGCCTAAGGAATCATGGTTTGCTTTAACTGCACTTGAAGTCCATGCACCGCTAGTGTGGAACTGTCACTAAACTGAGGAATTGGGAAGCTTTTCCCACTTCCTGACCATGGTTAAAAGACCATCAGTGTTATATATTGACAGAAGAGAGGCAGGGTGGTCAACGTCTAGAGCGTTAAGACCTGTAAGGAAAAATTTCAATTCCTGATTTATTTCTTGACCTTGGATTTGTAACTGTCTCTCAGCCAAAGTCACAGGAGGGGGATTTTCTGCCAAACATAATGGATGCAATCAATAACATAAAAAATTACCACTTAAGTTGAGCTTGGTCTCCAGTGTGATTTGTGTACTAACACGGTCGCTCAGGGAATGGTGGTGTCAACAGAAACAGGGAGGAATCCCATTTATAGCAGTAAGTAAAAACATTTTAGCATTTCCTTCTCATATTTTAAAAGCTGCCCTAGATAAAGCTGGAGGAATTTCTGCTCTGGACAGGGTGACAAGTGATGGGAAGACTGACCAAGCAGATGTTTTCACACAGAGGTTTACTCCAGGCCTTTGGATGACCAAAGGACTGTTATGGAGTATTGTGCAGTTTGGCTACTTTGATCTTCTTTCCAAAATCTGTCTTACCAAAGACACAGTATCTGGCTCTTCAGTGAATTCTTTCAAACTCAGGCTTTTTTTGCTTGAGACCTAGAGAGAAAAGAAAAGGGTTGGGATTACCCACCAAAAGCAAACGAACCCAAGATGCTTCAAGAGCTGGGAGTCTGGAGCCTCCAAGGTCACTCAGCTCTGCTAAACTAACCCCTTTCTAGCTAAGTTCAACCAGGAAAACATCTTCAGATGCTTAAATTAGTTTCCTTTTGGTCCTCCCGGAAGCAAAGAAAGCCGTGGTAGAAGACTTCTTCCACCTATCAAAGGTTAATTCTCAATCATTCCACTGGAGAACGCAGACCATGCTTTCGGACGGTGGCTGGGTCTGGACCTTGCCTGCATTTAGGCAAGGAAAGCCAGAGCGTCCTTACTATGGTTTGTTGGACAAGCCACAATGGCCCGGTTCACATGCCATGCAGAGCCATAACCCATGGTCTGCTAGCCACAGTGGATGGGGGCACACGGCGCAGCCAGTGTGGTGTCGTAATTCAGCTAAGGGGACATGGTTCAGCTCCATGCTTCAACTTGGAAGCTCAAGAAGGTGACGTGGAACCAGTTGCTCTCTTTCAGATTGACTTACTCTACTCGACAAGGCTCTGGGGAAAACAGAGTGCTAAGTATTCTGCCTTAAACTCTAGGAGGAAAGCTGGGGAATAAATCAAATGAGTGAATGGATGAGTTCCATTAAGCTGTAATTAAACTAATCACTATGGATTAATCATTATACACATCTATCCCCTGTGGCATAATATAACTTTGGCTTTAGCATAGCAAAACTGGCCATTATGGCTTATTCAACAACCCAAGGTTAAACCACACGTTAATGTGAT